CATCCTCCGAAGGTGGGTCCGAGGCTGCTTCATCCTTCTCTTCACCATCTGCTTTCTCATCCTCCGAAGGTGGGTCCGAGGCTGCTTCATCCTTGTCATCTCCATCTTGGTTCGCTTTCTCATCCTCGCAAGGTGGTTCCGGGGTTGCTTCATCATCATTATTTTCTCCTTCATCTTCATCTCCGTCCTCAGCCTCAGAAGGTGGGTCGGAGGCTGTTTTGTTTTCTCCATCGTCGGCTAACTTCTCATCGCTCGAAAGATGTTCATCATTGGTTTTATCATTTTCTTTGCTTCGATCTCTGGCTGACCCCTCATTGTCAGGAGGTGGCTTTGTTGTATCTTCATTTTCTTTCACTTCACCTTGGTCTTCTGCATCCACGTCCGTGCCCTCATCCTGCGAAGAAGCTGCATCATCGTTTGATGACCCCTCATCCCCCGAAGCTGCATCAAAGGCTGTGTCTCCATCCGCCATGCCACTGCAGGCTTCACCATGGTTTGAGGATGAAGCCTGACTCTGGTTTGTTGAGGGTTGAGGTTCAGGAGGCTTAAGATCTTTGTTTACAAATGCGGACAACCAAAACGTGTAGGAAATGCGCAGGGGGTTGATTGATGCTGGATCCCAAGCAGTGCTTCAGTATCAAAACATTGTGGGGGGAAAAAACATTTTGCAAAATATAACGCAAAGGGTCCTCAGGTTGATCCCCCCTCAGATGACCAGTCCACTGAAAAAAATAGTCCCTGTCCTTTCATATGTTCACACGAGAGAACATCAAACATACAACATGCAAGCTGTACTACGAAGCTTCGAGCTCATACCAATGTCCGGCACCATCGTGTGGGATAGCCCAGGCATCTCCTCCATAGGCAAAGTATCCATATCATCAATTGATGTAGTCTTCCTCGGGTAACATGACTGTCAGACTGACTTGAGTATTCCAAACATAATATGACTGTGTCAAATGGCTAGGCTATGAGGATACGCATGGTAAGTCCCTGCAATAGAGGTTCTTTCCACCTTCCTTTTTGGTCTTCTTTGTGTTCGGGGTTTCGAACACGAAGCCATTGCGTTTTTGCTTTTGGTGCGCTAGGAGGACTTGGTGACACCGTATTGCCTCACATAGTTCACAGATGTGCACACATCCAGTTCAAAAAACACACATGTTTGTCAGAAGCCTGCTCCACAGTCCAGTGTTGAAGTTGTTCATCATCCCTTCCATGACCTTAGCCCGTTCTAAAACCAGTAGTTTAACGAGTGTGTGATTGCTTCTAAAAACTGAGAACAGTACGCAAATGTTTCTTCTTGATCAAGATTTTTACTGCTTCCCTGATTTGGTTTTCCCTCGGTACTTTTGAAAGCTTGGAATCATGGAAGGCAGCACGCAGCCATTGGTTGCCCAGTATGCGGATGTCTCCGCCAGGAACCAAATGTCCCTTTTCCTTTATTTCCTCAACACTGATTCGGTTCATCATCGACTTGACCAAAATCCTAAGTTCAAAGGTCCAGGTCAAACATCCTTTAAGATCCTGCACACGTCACGGGGCTTGGTTTTTAATTGGCCAAGCATCATCACTGAATCTGTGCATGCTCGTGGCCGCTTTCTTCCCATGGCTGGAATCGATTTGGTGTAAAATGAACTTGGTCAGCGTGTTAAGTGTTTATGGACTTTGGTTCTATCTTCGTGCGTGCATGAAGGGTGTGTGTTGAAGTTTGAGGTCTTTGTTTTCATCTTAGTGCTCGGATGTCCCCATCATCTCGAGCCCCATGCCAGGCCAGCGTGCGATGGTGAAGCTGGCCTCGGCTGGAGGGGACCAAGGTTTTGTGATGGTTCATGTTCGGCATCCCAACATCAGGTTCTTCCAGACCCTAAATTCTAACAGGCTACCACTGGTGACTGGGTCTAACAGGCTACCATTGGACACCTGTCGGAGGGTGCTGGTATAGATATGTCTATATGGACCTCCGTCTAAAAGTCATGCTCTGCAGCCATTATAGCCAGCCGAATGTCATAGGGGCCGGGAGGTCCAATTTGAGGAGCTGCTGGGCTGTTGGGAGCACCGGGAAGGGACGTTTCGTGACAATCCGGTATGGAACTCGCTCAACCAACATAACTAACTAGCGGGGGACCACGTACCCTGAGGTGACCAATCGCACGACCCCACGCGGTCGCATCGGCTCAATTCCTCTAGTTCTTCGGCCCAGGCCATTTCCAGCCCCTTCGCGTGTTCGGTCGTCAGGTCCTTCGGCCAGATGCAAATACCTTAGAGCTGTTCACCAGCCACGCTTCTTCTGACCAGGAACAGGGCGTTGCCAAAGCTCCAAAAAATGAAAAAGACCTCGGTCAGCACATGTTACATTGACCCAGCACTATCCCAAGGAAGGTTAGTGGACTGTAAACACATGATGAGGGGTGTGTGTAAACCATGCAGCTGCCCAGCACCATCTGAGACATCTGCAATGCTTGGCAGATTGTCTGCGCATCTGGTTCCTACATGTTCCTGCATCTCTGTCCGAGCTCAATGGCTTCTCCCATGCGATGGTGGTATGATAAGTAATAGACATCAATCTTGCGTTTGGTACGCGTGTAACGCACTGGGACTTAGCCGAGCTGCAGTGAAGGAGGCCGCCAATGCCCACTCCGCTAAGAGATAGGTCATGATCCCAGTGCTTCCAGCTAAGAACATACCTCAGTGTCCAACCCTCACTGCATCCAGCTGCAGCAAAAGGTGCGCAGGAGGGAAAACATGGAAAAGGACGGAATCGGACTATCACTTGTTGGGTGCGCGAGCATGCGGAAGACCCAAGTCTTAAACCAAAACCCATTTCCAACCATTTCCAACATGTCTGAAATAATCCTGGAAGTGGCTGGCACCACCTGCTTGGTCTTCGGAAGGTCGTCCGAAGTCGGGGCCAGGGAGTGTACCCACATCACCATCTTCCTACCTCTTTTTCAGACCATGGACCCAGTTACTACACCCCAAAACGACGAGTTCGTCTTTTCAGTGGCAAACTGGTGTGTCATGGCGGCGCCGGCCCGTCAGACTCGAACGCCCCCGCGTCCTTTTTGTCTCGCCGAACCAGCCGGCTGGATGCTCCGCATGGAACCTCAGCTGGTCACAAAACGCTTCCCATCACACGGGTGCAACCCGCACGATTTGGGTAGAACGAAGCACTACCTTGCTCAGCCTCCACTGTTTATGACGATATTCTACAAACTCCTACAAGATCCATGAAAATCCCATCCAGAAAGTCTTGTGACTTGTGCAGCTTGCGCCTGTGCTCTGAAGAACCTAGAACCTTCCCCTCAGAAGGATCACAGGTGTGGTGCCACAGGTGCACCGACACAAGGCATGACCCGGCTCCACCCATCTCACACCAAAAGGACGTCTTGGAGTCAAATCGCAGAAGTCTCACACTGATGTAAGACAGTCAAATCATGTCAAATCTCATAGATTCAGAAAGATTCAGTCTCAGTCTCATTCAGCTCAAATCACCAACAAAACGAACAAACTGAATCAATTCATTTTGGACCTTGACAAGGTGTCTCCCTTCGACAGCTCCCAGCTACGTCAGCATCTGCTCGACTTCGTCTGGCCGCAGCCGCAGGTGAAAACTCCCAGGCCGTTGCCCAAAGCTGGAGCCGGGTGCCACGACCAAGCCCGTCCGGGCCTGGTCCGGTCCGAGGCGGTGGAACGGTCCGAGACGCTGTCTGAAAACCGGTCGACCTACGAACCCCACCGGTGAACCTCACCGGTCCGGGTGAATAGCTGCAATCGTCTTTTCGGGTGGTGAATAGAGTCAGGGGCTAAAGAGATGGCCTGGAGTCTTGTGACCTCCTTTGTTGGACCAACATCCACCAAGCGCTCAAAATGTCATTTCGCATCGAAACAATGAAAAACAAAGGTCAACAGGTACTTGAGCGGTTGCCGTCTTGCACCGGGGTGTGGCATAAAGGAAAACAAACCACGCGACCGCCGAGGTCCCCAAAATCGCCCTCATAGACGGGATGACGTACTCGTTCAGTTTCCTGCACCAACTGCAGGAATCATGGAGCCAGGTGACTTGAAGCTCTGAACAGTAAACACGGTCAGCTGGGAGGGCCAAGGAGATGGCTTTCTTCATCACGTAGCCCTTGATGACCACCTCACGATGCAGGACGATGAGTAGAGGCGTTCTGGGAAGCTCGTTCCTGCGCAGCTGGGCTGCCGAAGAACTCAAAGTGCTCCGGAGGTTTAAGGACTGCAATTTTCAAGACCCAGGCCTTCAAAGTGACCATTTACTGGACAATACCGTACCATTCTATAGCCAAAGTTGGAACCCCTGACTTGGAGGAAGGATGCAGGCAGGCGGTGTTTCTGTTCTCAGTGGGATTTGGCCTCCAGTGAAGTGTTGATAATCCCGAGTACCTATTAATAAAAAACTCCCCAATTAAAAAAACCCCACGTCCGAACCCCTAAATTCGGTTTATATTTGGTTTTAAATTGCCGCCCTTTCAAACCGCTACTAAACTACCAACATGGTCGATTTTGGGGGTAGTTTTTTTTATTAGGTTCCCCAAAAACAACCGTAACTGCCCACCTCTGTCCGCCCTGTCTATCCACCATGACACGCCGCGCTTACACCAGCAGGCTTTCCTTCCCCCAATGGCACGGACTCACGCAAACGCACTTGCCACCGAGGTCATGCAACACCGCATGGCACAGCGACATCACCTTTCGAAAGCTTTAGCTGTTAGTCTACTGAAGAATAACTATTCTAATGAAGGTTTTTGTAGGGGAAAAGGAAGACCCTTCGATCTGGAGCTTTTTTGCATTTTTGATACGAGTTTAATAAAGGATTTTATATAAAACTTTACGGATTTACTTTTTGGTTTTGAAGCTCTTCCCAGGTGACCCTATTTTGGACCCCCCGATTTCAGGGACCCCCTATTAAAAAAAATGCGACCGAGGTTTTTAATAGGGGGGGGGGGCGTGTTTATTATTAGGGGGACGGGATTATTCAGGAAGCCTATGAAACGAATCGAATCGTGAATATCGAATCGGTTTTGAAACAGAAACGCTCGAAACTAAACGAACAACGAATCGGAAACGATTGAAACGATAAATTATATGAAACGAAACGAAACGCGGCAAATACATTTGTTAAACGAACCGAACCGAACCGAAAAAAACACAAAAACGAAACGTGAAACGGCGGAAACGAAGGGCGAGAAAAATTACGAAACGGCCGAATCGCCTGGCACCCCCTGGGTCGGCAGCAGGGGTTGGAGCCCCTCTCTCCTTCGGAGAGGAGAGAACCCTCCAACGGAGTTTGCTACCTGTTGCTTTATCGGCTACGGGCCATTAGAGAAAAAAGCGCAGGGAGAGACGGCGGCCCGATGGATAGTGTATGCAATCATGCAATCAGCGGGTTTCGATGGATGGTGCACCTTAGAATACACGTGCCAACAAATTGATTCAACGCAGGCAAACGGTGATGGAAAGGCAATCATGTGTGGTGATGTTTGGGGGGGGACAACCTGGCCAGTTAATTCAGCAGTCTTTCAGACCAGGATCAGACCCGGCTCAGACGGTGTTCTTTGGGCCGGCTGGCCTCGGCTTCTGTGTTGTCCATCCACCAGATCCAAACAAGACGTTAGGTAGAGGGCTTCCGTTTTGGGAGCGCTACACTAATCGTTTCAATCTGAAGGCTGTAAAGTGTATGGTTGCTGGCCCAAATCTACACTCGCACCTGGGCCAAAGAGGCCAAGACCAACTACAGCAACTGAATCCCAGGTCGCACCCGGCCCAACGGAACAAACACAGAACGAGCCCACACCAACTAATTCCCAGTTTCACCCGGCCCAGACGGCACAGACATAAAACGCCCCACAGCAAGTAAATCCCAGGTTGCACCCGGCCCATCGGGACAAGCACAGAACCAACCTGCACCAACTCATTCCCAGTTTCACCCGGCCCAGACGGCGCAGACATACAACGCTCCACAGCAAGTAAATCCCAGGTCGCACCCGGCCCAACGGGACAAACGCAGAGCCAGCCGCAGCAACTAATTCCCAGTTCGCACCCGGCCCAGACGGCGCAGACATAAAACGCGCCACAGCAACTAAATCCCAGGTCGCACCCGGCCCAACGGGACAAGCACAGAGCCAACAGCAGCAACTAATTCCCAGTTTGCACCCGGCCCAAACGGCACAAACATAAAACGGGCCACAGCAACTAAATCCCAGGTCGCACCCGGCCCAACGGGACAAACGCAGAACCAACCGCAGCAACTAACTCCCAGTTCGCACCCGGTCCTGGCCAGGTGCTGCCCTCTATGCGCAGGCGGATGCTGGGAAGTTCGCGAGCCCGGTCGCAGAGAACGGCGGGCATTCTTATGCGCCGCTTGGATGGACCGGCAAGGGCGTGATAATACCCGCAACACGTGGGTAGCCTGCAGGTCACCTTGTTGCCTGGGCTTTTGTGGGTTTGAATCTAGAGTTCGAGCATGTGTGCAAGTCACACATCCCAGGGACTTTAGTAGGGAGCATTTGACTTCAACATCAATGGTGAACCTGAGCATCCAATCCAAGGGCCAGTTCCGCAACCTGCCGCTTCCAATGTTAATGTAGCGTTGCCAAGCGATTCCCCCGGCCAGCAGAAATATCGGAGGAGCCAGCATCTGCCCCTTCTTACCCCGCAGTCTTCCAAGCAAGTCCTTGGGGGGCTTCCGTTTTGGGAGCGCTATGCCCTTTGAGGCCCGGTCCTGGAGTGGATTTCTCTCAGGGCTGGTTGACCAACTTGAAAGCACACACCCCAACGGGTGCACCAACAAATTCCCAGTTTGCACCTAGCCTAATAGAAACCATGCTTTGAGCCAGGTCTGACCCTGGTCTGAAAGAGGTGTTGGGTTTACTTGGCGGGTTGCCCCTCATGCCCTCATTCCCCTGTTCTTCGTATTATACGCCCTATACCGGCCGTTCTTAGGGTGACCACCATGTATCAATGGAAGGTACAGGAATCATATATGTTGATACTGATACTGTAACGGAAACGATAAACGAATCGAAACGAACCGAAAAAACAGGAAACGGTAAACGAACCGAACCGAATCGAACAATTAAAAAAACAAAATGAAACGAAACGAAACGAAACGAACCGCCCCAAAAAATAAAACGAACCGAAACGAAACGAACAAAAAAGAAAACGAACACGAAACGAAACGTGCCTAAACCATTTAAATACGAAACTAAACGAAACTAAACGAAACGTAGGTTTCCTGGATATTGCTTGAAACAACGCATACTGCTTCACCAAACACAGGGGGTGAAACCAGCGAGTCTCCAAGCTCTCTGATCCGATCCACAGCCCGATCGTTGCGATGTCAAGAACAGGCTCCCTGTGGATATTTGGTCCCAAATCTCAGAAGTCCTGGATGGCTGGACATCCAGCCATCCAGCCGTCCTAGGGATTCTCAGAAGCCATACCCCTAAGTTGTGTTGGACATCCTTTTGTTTCGGTGAACCCTAGCGTTCGGCCCGACCGGGCGTCCCGGAAGGCACCAGGTGATCAACTGACTGGAGAGGTGGTGGTGCAGGTTCTTCCGGCCACCATTCGTTCGAAGCGGCATGACCGCATGACCGCATGACCCTGAATCCAAGACACTTTGGGGAACACGTACATGCCAGCTTCCACTGCTTCGCAGGAGATTCCGGCCACTGTCTCCAGTCCTAGGGATTCGTTCCAAGGCGTGCGATGAAACGGTCTGGTTTCGGTTTCGGTTGACAGCAGGCTTGCTTGGAAACAACTGACCTTTGATGGAATCCACTCCACTTGATCAAACCCACATGAGATGTGTTATTTTGCTAGCTAAGTTCTGGATGTAATGTCAAACATCCGATGATGAACCCATGCTGCCATGCTGGTGGCACACTCCCCTGGACTGAGTTTGCCATTCCCCACAGCGGATCTGACCTCGCGGAAATTTCACATGGACCCTGAAAACCACTGGTTTGTATAGAGAAATACCACTGGGATCTTACAGTACATTCTTTCCGGGTCCCATTCTCAGGGTCCATGTTAGTCTCGGGGGTGTGATGCATGGGTTTGTTTGGAATGGTGGGCGGAACCTCCAGCAAGACACACCTTCGTAAGCTGTTCTTCCCAAAATCCACTGCCCACAGCTGCCTATACAGTAACCCACATCTTCCGGGTTCGGCGTTCCTGAATTCGGGCATCTCATACTGAACATCCTGTGGGGCCTGAGGATCTCTTCTGCTCATTTTGGGCTGGGAACTATCGGAACTGTCAGAGTTCTGGCACATGCCATCTGCACCTTTCAGCGTCGCCCCAGGTGGTCAAAGGTGTACACTCCGACTGACTCACATCACATGGAAATGGATGGCACGGCCACTGGGATGACCATGAAATCCTCTACAAACAGGTGCTTTTCCACTTCCATGTTAGTGAGTCAAAGGGTAGCTCATAGGGGTACGGATCGTTGTCCCTGCTAACTCGTGTTCTTCTCCGCTCGAGATCGCTCGAGATCCCTCCCTTATCAAGGCTCGTATCAGCCTCGCCCGGGGTGGCAAGCTTTTATAAACTGTAATCAACCGCAAACACTAGCAAACACGTTATTTTTAAACAAGCACCCTCATCATCAAAGCGTCTCTCCCTCGCATTCCTCGTGCTCTGCGACAGGACGGCTCGCAGCTTCCGCTGCGAGTCCTCCAGCGGTGCACTGAGGACACTGGCAATCCAGGCCTCTCGTGGCAAGCGTCCATCAGTCGACTTCCTGACGCGGTTGACAACAGGCGAAAAGCGACTGCAGCTGATGATCGAAAGTAGATCAGGAGCAGCGACCGCTCAACGGCAAAACCAGCAAAACCTTCTCAACTTGGCGGTCTGATCACAACAGGCGGGATTGATCACGAGTTGTCCATGACATCGCGGCCAGCAAACCAAGCTGCAAACATCTTGGAACACAAGAGTGTGTAGGAAAAGGTTGGTTGGTGGATTCAACCCACCTGATGTTTTAAACACCGGTCCAGGGGGGCTCATCCGCAAGTAAAAGAAAGTGAAAGCAGTGAAAACTTGAAGAACTGATATAAACAAAATAACAACACGTGCCTCACTTGCTGCACTGGCTTCACGTTGTGCATGTGCAAGGCCGCAGGCGCCGTTGAAAAAGTCGTCGCTTCTGCGACATCTTCCGGAGAACAAATGGTGATGAGAGGCAAATCCAAATCCATCCTGGGATTGTCTGCCGACCGCGGGCGACTCAGGTCGTTTAGATTCTCCAACCCGAAGGCTTCAACCACATCCTCGGATTGGGGCTTGGGATAGGTTTGGAGGGTCAGGCCCTACCTTCCGAGGTTGTGGCTGAAGCTCTATAGGGCAAAGTGCAAGAGAAAAAGAACGGGTCGGAGGTTCAACGGCAAAGCCAGGGGTGTCTGGATGAAACAGTGACCAAAGGGGTGGTGCTCAATGCCTCCATGTGTGGCAGTTCCACTCAGGCCAGCAGGCCAGGGTTTCTTGTAATCGCTTGACGTCGGCAAATCAATCCTCCAACTCGTGCAGTTGGTCTGGGAAAGTGTCCTTGGTCTGGGGCCTAGGGGATTTTGACATCATGCGAATTCCTCTGGAATGGTGGGAGTTGGAATTCAGGGAATTAGACACTCCATGTATATATATATATATGAGAGATCCTCTTCAGGCTCAAGTAGCTTGGAATGATTGCTTTCTGTGTGGGTATTCTACAGTGATTCAAGCAGCTTGCACAGAGAGAAACATCACCCGTTCCAATCCGTTCCATGTCTACTCTCAAAAACGAACACCATGCTTACGTGGATGGCACGGGCCGCGAGGCCAGCTAAGGCATTTTTTTTTTTGAAAAAACCCAGCCGTGTTCTGTTTTCCACTTCCCACAGTGAGTCTCAGTAGGATCCCCTCGCAACTTGGCAGGTCAAAACCTGGAGCCAGGCATCTCCTTCACCATGCGCCGGCAGCTCCGAAAGCGACCTTCCTCGAAGAGCAGGGAGACATCTTCCTGGGCGACCACCAGCATCTCATGCCGGGCAGCGAACTCCAACGATGACCTCAGGAGATTCCCGCATTTGGAGGACAAGCGACTAACCAGGGCATCCAGCAACACATCCTGGATCTTCAAACGGCACAAATGGTTGCCGCCGAGACAATTTCAGTGAACAAATGCCGGATTTGGGTTGCAAATACGTGCTCAAAATTCTCGGACGGGAAAAACGCCGTTTGGACTCCTAAAATCGCCGTTTCTTTTTGGTTTCTCACCTCACTACACAAAATTTGCACGTTTCCGCCGTGTCACAACAACAAAAAACGCCGGCAGTAAACAACAATCTTTACATTCTTTGTACCATTTCGATTGTCCAGGTCTAAAAACGTCTGGACAAAACATGTCACAACATGTCACAAGTTGCTTATGCTATATAATCCTTTCCTTTCCGATCGTCACGAGTCAAGCCTGAACAAAACGGACATCTGTTTCAACTTCCCTAGGGCTCCAAGTACCTTCTAAGAAGGTGTTTGGGTGGGTTTAGAGGGTCCAGTCATACCGAGTTATACCTTCTGAGGAGGTACGACTGGAGCCCTAGAGCTTGAGAGACACCCCTGTTCCTGTTCGTCTCTGAAATCTGACTTGGTCAGGCCCTGGACCTTGTTTCTCCGGTCGTGCCTGATGGATGTGGCGGACAGGACTTGTCCTGGAAGCCCCGGATTCTGCAGCACCAGCACTGAAGGCGTCGGAGGTCGCGCGCCGCTCGCCTTCTCCAAAGCCTCCGGCAGCACATCCCAGTGCCTGTCGATGTCCAAAGCACTACAACAGATCTGCAGGTGCATCTTCTAGGTCTATCTGGTCCTAGATCAAGCCCTCCATCTACAGCCTCTATGAAGTTCTTGGAATTTCCGGCTTCCAATGCAGTGAGATGCTGATTGTCACTCTAGATGTTGACGATATCTGACATCTGAGGCCTGCAATGTCTGCTTGTGTCTGCTTTTGTTGCTGCGCCTGGATTCCTCCAGAAAGTACGGCGTCACCTCTGCCAGGTTCAGAGCGGCGTCCAGGCAGGAGGTCAAGCTCGGTGCCGGCACCAAGACCACTGGGCGCTGATTCAAGCCTCGCGAGCCTCGGGCATCAAATGAGATGTTTCTCCCAAGTGATGCCCCGTTTTTTACCAAGAAATCACCGGAGAATCACAAAGACCAGTTCCAGTTGTGCGACGTCTTTCTGGCACCATGTTCAACTGATTGAAGCCTGGACATGGACGTCTTTATGACCTCGTCTTTGGATTGGAAACTGGCTTTGGGGGGTCACATGATGTCGTTGCAACATGATCGAACTGACAACCAGGGCCCACGGCGGCCAAACACTCGTGGACTCAGCAACAAAACTTTACAGCCCAGCACAACATCTGCCCGCCATCTTCTTCACTTCCTAACACTGCACCTGTTGACACCTGACTCATCAGCATTCTGAACTGACAAAGTACCAAGCGGATGACCAACCCCAAAGAATATGACTAATATATACATAATTTTGCATATAGTTATACATACACTGGGGTGATTTCAGGGGTCAATGCAGGCATAGGGGTCATAACATGAATACCATGGGAACTGGGAACCCAACGTTTTCGCTCTCGTCTGCGATCGCATCTTCCAACGGACGGGAGTGACGCCGCTGGTCTCGAACGCATCCCAGGCACATTGGAAGGCCAACTCGAAGGCTTCCTGGTTTCGGAAAACGCAGATTCGGAAGCTGGGACAAAGACATACTATACACTGACAGTCTGTCCCAGGTTTGGGGGATATATATGGATCGATATATAGTGTATATATATACATATATATACAACATCCATACCCCCCCCAAAAAAAAAGACTCCGATCTTCCAAACACCAGGCTTCCTTCGTATGGTCCACCAAGACCAGCTCCTCCATGGACGTCTCCACCCCGTCACGCCGTTGCAGCGCCTGTGCCACATGGCAGCGGAGGACGTCGTGGACGTCGCACGTGGCGAGGTTGGTGTCCAAGAAAGGGTGCGTCAAACCCGCTGGAAGCTCCGGAGACCTGGCGGGGGCGAGCGGAGAGCGCGGAGGGATGTGGGGGGCGTTGAGATGGGGTCGGGTTTGGGATTTGCTTTTCACATCGGCGTGGGAAACATGGCGGCTCGCGGACTGGGAGGCGAAACTATAAGAGGATCGAATTTCAAGGTACCATGGGGTCGAAAAAGGGGCGGATAGGGGCGGATCTAGTTCAAGAATTTGTTTTCACAATGTCTTCGGACTTTGGACTTCTAGGATTTCTGATTTCCAATTTGTCTGTAGAACATGGTGTTGAAGCATGTGCCCGCAGAAACCAAGGTCAACAATACTGGGACCCCTGCCTGGGGTTGGTCAACGCCAAGACCAGTTGATGGTGAGGTAGGTAGGCCAAAGTCAGGTGATCTGTGATGGAAGAGCTGAAACGAAGCTGCTTCAAGCGGACTTGAGTCCACGCTGCAGTGACCGAGCAGCGCAAATGCGCGCATGCACGCATGCATGCGTGCATTCAGTTGGCACTGAAACCACGGAAGAAGCCATTGGGTTGAGCCACATTGCTTGCTTCCAACTCCGAAGCGAATAAAGCATGAAAGGTTGTTTGACTACTTCCACCATACAGTAACCCCAAAAAGACTCAGAGTGAATCTGCGAATTTGCTTGAAGAAAAGTATTGGAATTGTTTCTCTCGAATCAGGGGGCGTTCGAAATCACTGTAGCTGCTTTGCCACGTCAGCTCCCTCCATGCCCAACAACTTGGGAAAGGGACCCATAGTGAACCAAGATCTGCATGCTACAACCGCATGAAGTAGAACATTGGCCCTACCACCACCTCGAAAACTACATAGCTGCATTTGATTATAGTTGATTTGGGGTTGTTGCTAGAAAAAGAATTCACAAAGGTCTCTCATAGACTATCAATGCCCTAGTAGGCCTTTTTCGAGGTAATGTTCTTGACTAACTAAACCGTCCTTGCTTGAGGCGTTCTGTGGCCTTTTGGGCCAAGGTGCTGACCACCAGAAAGACCTCAGTTGGTCACCGAAGCAACTGGAACGTTGGTCACCGAACCACCTGTGCTGGACCTATCACTTCAAGCCACTGGAAGACGTATCGGGTGTGAATCGAGGATCCGTGAAGGCAGCCAACATCCCAACACAACTCCGACCGCCGGTCTCTGCGGCATGCACCAAACCCGCGCGCCACAGGCTGGACACCACTATACCACTGCTTTTATGCGGCGTCCAACTGAACTGGAATCCACTTGTCACCAAGGCCCAGCAGACCGGGAAAAAGCTTCTCTCTGCTCTCCTCTCTACAAAGTACTTACGTTCGTTCACATGCTACACGACCAATTGCGAAACAACTAGGCGCGGTGAAACCAGTACTCTCGCACTCACGTTCGCGGACCCTAAGTGAGATGGACAATAAAGGTTCACCTCGACCACCTGTTGGTTGCTAGACGGGGAAACCCATGCCTCAAAAGGTTATCCTCTGACTGGGTCGGTCAAGTGAGAGGTTATCCACTGACTGGGTCAGTCTAGAGTCTAGTGAGATGGAATGGACCCTGTTCCCTTGGAGGTCTGTCACCATCAAAAGGGGCAAAGAGGTTCGTTGGGACAGTCATACACCTTCCGCCATCTAACATCCAATTCATAGACACACGTAGAGATCAACAAGAATCAAACGTACGTGTAGGGAACTTGGAAGGATTCATGAAACAGATCATGGTAAGATTGCGTAAGGACTCCTGAATTAAATCATGGTAAGATTGAGCACAAATTTCCTGAATGAGACCATGGTAAGATTGTGTGATAAATTGTGAATGAGATCATGGTAAGATTATGTACAGTATGAATTTGCGAACGAGATCATGGTAAGAGTGTGTAAGAATTTCCTGAATGAGATCATGGAAAGATTATGGAAGGTGTCCTGAATAACATCATGGTAAGATTGTGCAAACACCTGCTGAATGACATCAGGGTAAGATTGTGTAAGAACTTCCTGAATGAGATTAGGGTAAGATTATGTAATTTCCTGAAACAGATCATGGCACTGATCATGGCAAGTTTATGAACAAAATTGCCTGAATTATGTAGATCATTGCAAGATCATGAACAAATTTGTTGAATGAGATCATGCCAAGATTATGAACGAATTGCCTGAATGAGATCATGGCAATATAGTCTACAAACTTCCTGAATGAGATCATGGCAAGATTATGAACGAATCTCCTGAATAAAATCAAGGTAAGATTGTGCGATAATTTCCTGAATGAGATCATGGCAAGATTGTCTACAAATTTTTTGACTGAGATCATGACAAGATTATGTAAGATGTCCTGAATAACATCATGGTAAGATTGTGTGAAATTTTCCTGAATGAGATCATGGCAATATTATGAACGAATTGCCTGAATAAGATCCAGAGAAGATTGTGCAATAACTTCTTGAATGAGGTCAGGGTAAGATTATGAACAAAATTTCCTGAATGAGATCCAGGGAAGATTATGAACAATTTCCTGAATGAGATCAAGGTAAGATTTAAGATTGTGAACAATTTCCTGAATGAGATCAAGGTAAGATTGCGTAAGATAATTCCTGAATGAGATCAGGACAAGATTGTGTAAGAACTTCCTGAATGAGATCATGGCAAGATTATGAAGGAATTGCGAGGTAAGTTTACCTCAAAATCTAGAAACCAAATCATTAGTGCGAGCGCCTGGCGGGCGGCTGGGGGAATTTCCTTTAAGAAGCGCGAGCTATCCTGCGTCCCTAGCTACTAATTAGCGGCCTACCACCCCCACCCGCGCGCGGGCGCCCGCACGCGAAAAAACTACTACTAGCTACTTCTAGCTACTATAGCTACCTCTTCCTACTAGCTACCTAAGTAGCTACAGCCTACCCCCCACCCCTAAAAACATAACAAATAACTTTCACCCTGCCCAACGGACGAGCATCGCTGATCGGTCGACGGCTGGCACTGCGCTGCAGGGGATCCCAGGAGAGCAGCAGTGAGGCTCCAGCGCCGCACAGGAGCGCCACAGCGAAGATGGTCCCGTTGTGATCCTTGAGGAGTGCGGATCGTGACCAGCAGTGACCAGCAGTTGGGCAGTTGCAGGTGGGCAGTTTGGAGAATGATGAAAAACCAGGCTCAAACCGAGCCAATGGTTATGGACGTAGTTTGGAGAAGCGTTTCAACAATATGTTCCTCCTCGCGTCAGAGCACCTTGCTGAGGGCTCCTCAGCACAACTGGTCACAAGAGTAGTGATTCAGTGGCTTAGTGCTGATATAAAGCGTCGCCGCCCTGGTTTCGACAGTAAGATATCAATCATTGATCCTTGAGCGGGGTGTCAGTGAGGAAACTATCCCACAAAAATACATCATCACACCCGTGTGCCCACTGCAATCTACAAATACATATGTTTTGCCTTTGCACATCTGCCAGTTGTGCCGTCATTCGAGGCTCATCTTAGCTCGCCGACCTCGCGTCCCATCTTAGGAACTATTTGGATCGGCTGACTCTGACTCCGCCGGTGAACTTTTTCTACCCGGTTCTTGCTTAGTGGGGAAACCGGGAAACCAAACAAAAATAGGTTATAAAGGTTATCCACTGTCCCTTGGCAAATGTTGGTCACACATCGATCCCACCGCAGCCTTCCGACCGAGGATCCGTTCGGTCTCCAAAGCGATCGGCGTATAAGGAGGACTCATAGCCTGGGCCGTCGTCGCCGGGTCCGCCGGTGCCTTTCGTGGCCGGACTGGACGGAACGTCGAGGTGAGACGTGCTGCTGAGACGTGGAGAATGGTCGGAGGAGTGGCTGGATGAGAGGGAAGTCCCTTCCGCACTGGAGTTGCAGAATGAGTTCCGACCTGCCGTTGCAAGCCTTCTGGAAGACCAATCCAAGGTGCCGTAGATCGTCTGATAGGCTGGGTAGCTGCAGACCCACCAGAGTGTGGAGAGCCAAAAGCGACGAGGAGAACGATACACCCTGCTGAAGGCCTGCAGGCCAACTCGAGGTACCCATGAAGACTCACCAAGCCCTTTGAAACAACCGTTCCAAAAATATAGGCATTCCTGTCAGCGTTTTCGCACCAAGTGAACGAGTTGATTTTGCACCAAGTGAACGTACATGACCCTTTTCTATACCGCCTAGAAGCACTGCGGGAGAAAAAAAAACCATCTGCCTCTGTACAATTTGCCGGGAGGATTCTTGGATTTAGGATGATTTAGGGATATTTAGGGTAAAGCCGCAGCATTAGGTTTGAATTTGCGCGGCCAGCGGGGAATGTTCGCGGCAAGAAGAATTCAACGTAGCCTTCCAAAAGCCATCACCACCCCCTAAGAGACACCAAGTTGTCTCTTTCATGATTGCATACTACCGCCTATAGTCATCGTTCTGCAAGGAAAGTATTTTGCATATCAAGATCAAACGCCCCACCCTTGCAAGGGTGATTTTGACACTTCGATTCAAAAAAATTGCCAAATGGCCGCAACGCATGTTCAAACCCTTCAAAAGCGCTGGTTTTTGATTGCCGCCTTTTAGCTTTACGTTTTTTTTGTTTCGGATATGTCCGCCTGTTTTCTCGGGTATTTTCTCGCCAGGTGTTTTCGACTGTTTAGTTTCTTGGGCTCCGTGTGTGTTCATTTCGCATGGTAAACCAGATTTGCACGTGGAGGGGGAAAGTCAAGTCGCCAGTTTTTCTCCTTTTTCGGTGACAGTTCCAGTGAGGATTGCGTCTTCTGCACCCCAAAAAGTTGATGAATTGCACCTATAGAACATATGAACATATCGTCCTTGTCCCCCTATAGATTCCTTGTCCCGGAAAGTTTTGCGGCAACACATGCATGTTCCACCTCAGGACGGGTCGGGCGGCTCTTCCTGATCTTCTAGGTATGCAATGGTATGCATGTTGATTTTTTGATAGCCTGTGTAATTATATACTTCTGTCACCCGGCTTTGTAAGGTACTGCCTTTTGTAACCCAAAAAGGTCGAGCCGCTATATAGCTTTAGTTCAGGAAGGCGGGTTACCTTTTATTGGGGTGTCTAGAGGGGAAGCTTCCATGGTTGCATGCCCATCATCGCCTCTAAGAGTGAATCAAAAAACGTCAGATGGGTCCCTCAGATGGGTTCCTACAAGCGATGCCCTTGTTGCGTTCGTAGCTTCTTGTTCCTAGTAGTAAGGCCAAGAGCTACGTTCGTAGCGTCTCCGTTCGTAGCGATGCCCTTGTGACCTAAAAGGAGCTGTCGAAGCGCCAGCTGTCTGTGCGCCTGGAACCAGGGCACCCGATCCACCGGTATGCTCCCTCCGCCCACATCCACTGGAGGAAGGCTGAGCGCCACCAGGCAGGAAAGCCCCACCGAGGCAAACGAGATCCACCTGATCGAGCGAGGTTCACCTGCGACTTGGATCAACTACTCCACCACCTTCTACATCACTTACTAGGCCTATCGATGCCTCTTGTTTGGACTGGGGCAGTGGGACGCAGGGGTGGGATGCGTGGGAATGGATGGGAATGGGGGGGCTGAGGTGGAGGAAGCTTCCTCCGCAGTTCTTTGAGGAAGAATGGAAGAATTGAACGACATGCTGGTTTCATGAACATTTTCAGCATCAGATCCTCTGAATGTCAGTGAAAGTGTCAGTGAATGTTGAAATAAACTGTGTGTGTGTGTGTGCCAAATGGTCCTCAAGGGCTTTATACTTTATTCTATTTCTGACTGGGTCAGCCCCAGCCCTACCCTTGAGTAGAACACATCACCGGAAAGCACCCTCCAAAATATCGAACACACCCAAAACCAAAGACCAGTTGTTTTCATGCGTCTTTCCCAGTCCTGCACCACCATGGACCCCTGGATATGGGGTTACCAAACCCACTGCAAGTACCAAAGCAGGAACCTGCCCATACCTCGAAGGTGCTGCAAGAACTTCTCTTCTCCAACCACATCTGTCTATAGTCAAGCTTTGAACATCAGTGGAAAATGAAACAATCCCAGTTTCTTCTTCCATTCCAAAGCGCATGAGACCAGTGAGTCCGATGTCCGTGAGCTGCAGCAGCCAATCGCCCAGCAAGCCAGCGAAGGTGTGGGCCACTAAGTACCTCAGGCTTGACAAACTGTTGCCAAACCCCAACACAACACACAAGCAACACATCACTCATGTCCACAAGTAATGAATTTGAAATAAATTTGACGCCAAAGCCACGCTTGTTACACCATCTTAGACCTGGCACCCAAGCGGCTGAATGTGTCATGTATGCTCATGCCGTGCATTGCTGTCTTGAAGTTCATGGGCCAAATACGATCGGAAACGGTCGGAATCTATGTGGGTTGCCCAGGAGACTTGCTGGGTCAATGAGTGAGATGGTACCCAGCAGGCCGCCCTCCCATGAGATTCAACAAATCCTCAAAATAAGAGGGACATGCATGGACATGCCAGAAATCATCACCACACTAGGCCTACCTAGCTTCAGTGTCGTCAAATTGCAGCTCTGGAAGGGCAAGAAGACACAGTCTAAAGCCTTGCTTTCGTTGATCTGCGGCTCTTTCGTATATTGTTATACAGTAATGTGTTCTTTTCATATACAATACAATAAATTATGCCTTCAAAAACTGCTCCCACCACCAACCACCAAGATCCACCCTTTAAAACCACCCCAAACACCATTCCTGCCAAGTTCGCGCGGCTTGAGCCACTGCCGTCAGCTGTTGCGCATGGCTCGGCACGGCCTTCAGGCAATAAGCCCAAAAGGCGAGCTCCCCCACGAGGCCCACAGCAAAGGCCACCTCCCGGTGTGGAATGTGGGTTTCGGCGGCGGCTCTGCCGTGGGAGATGCGAGGTATTCGGTATTCGGTGTTCTTGCACATTTGCGCGTGCAAATCGTTTGTGCCGTCTTGTCTCTTGAACACACTCTCATTTGCTCTTGCAGTAGCCGAAGTCTCTGTCTGTGGCCGCGTTGAACGCAAACCACACACAAAGCAATGCACCAGGGGTCACAAAGGGGTGGTTTTTAGTCCCTAAGTGAGTGGTTGCTGGTATACTTACAGTATACAAACGTCCCTGTCAAAAAAACCGCCGCTCAACCTCGCCGAACCTTCAAGATGCGAACTTCGGGATCGGTTTGATCGGCGTTCTAGGTACGGACCGGTTGTACCCTAGCTATATATAGCAAATGTGCATTCAAATCAAAGTACTTGTGGACTCAAGTTCTGAAGATCCACCTCTGAAGCGATCCACCTTCCCTCCAGACTATTGATTGTATGCGACAGTGATACGCAGTGACATATATTGTTACTTCGTGTTCCTTCAAGGAGGGTTTGTAGGAACCATTGTGAGGAACGACTTCATGCGGGTGGAATAGTGGCCCCTTCCAAAAACTAGGCCTGCATCAGCTGCATGCTTCGCACCGAATCTCCAAAAAGGAGCAACAACCTCGTGCTCAGCCGCGCAGCGCAGCCCAAACGGATCAGCGCACGGTCGCCCAGGCCTCGCGGTGCGTTCGGGATCCACGGATGCTCGGACACGTGGGAGGATCGATGTGGGACCTTGGGAATTGAAGGGGTCAGCGCCAAGTAGACATCCAAAGACCGATGGTACACTTCGGGGTATATATCCCCAATCTAAAGATCTGAGTAAACCGGTCGCGGTGACATGGTGTTCGTCACACACTACAATGCATTTGGGTTTCTCAGCCTTGTGCTTTCTGTCCACAATTCATGTCAGGGATTCAGCCAAACATTTGACCTAAAACGCGCGAAATGATCGATTGTTTCATGATCGATTTTGAAACACGAGTCATGAATGGAATGAAGTAAACTCAATAAGGAAGCCACATTTGATTTCCAACCCTGTGCCACGCTGACCAATGCTTGGCTACCAGTAAGGGATCATCTAAGGGTGAATTCCAAATTTGTGCACTCTAGAACACATGCATGAGAGCGAGCATCACACAAGTGCGAACACAAAAATGAGAGAGCACGCAGGAAAACACACATATCACATCTCAGGTAAAAGAGAGCAAACACACATGAGAGCGCGCACTAAGCGGCACACACATATATGACATTGCCCATCATGCACTGTTGCCCCGCAGTTGCAGCTTCACAAAGTGCTGCACCCGGCACAAAGTCCATCAAAAGTCCCGTTATCTGCACAAGGTTCACATCGCGCAGCCCTGCCAGTAAGTTTTGCAAAAGCACTCCCGAGACCTCCCAAGTACATAAGAGAAATATGTTTGAGATGCCAAAACTAGCTTTTCGGCGATACTGTGTTAATCTGTGTTACTTATCCGAAATTCGGACCGCGAGGCACATGTCCAATGTTCACGATTCAATGCACCGTTCAACGCACCTGCTACGAAATCAGGGCATGCCAAAGACACGCAACAAGTCCGAAGCGCTGTGTCTGCCATGAAAGCTGCACATGGAACTGCAACCGCTCCGATCTCCTGCTCCTGCCGCGACAGGATGACTGGATCGAAAAGCCGGCTTCAAAGCCCAAAGTCGGTTTCAACTTCTGCCACAGAACCACTAAATCCGAAATGTGCACGGCACCACAACGAGAGCGCAGTCGAGGAAAGCACCCTCTCCGGGGAGAGGCAGTTTGTGCGAGCCTGCGCAGTCAAAATGCATTTCGAAGATCTTCAGAGGCATGTTGTAACTGGCAGTGAGTTACTGTAGCCGCCAACGGATGTGAGCACCCTCGATCAAACCCAGTCTTAACCCATACCCTATGCCCACAATGAATGCGGCCTTTGACGAAAACCGAAGGAGCCCAGGCAGAAACATGCAGAAACGGGGAACGGCCTGAAAAGTGTGGAAACGAATGAAGAAACAAAGGGCCTTGAAAGTTTGGAAACTGCAAGGCGTAGACCTTCAGGATTGCCTGGCGGAACTGCTGCGGATGTGCCATGTGCCACACAGGTGGGGTGTGAAAATGCCATCCTGCCAGAATACCATGGTGCAAACGGGGTTTCTGGGAAGACTGGTTCCTGTTTCATAGAGGTCGTTTCCATGAAATGTGGGTTGGAGTGCGGGGACATCTCAACCAATAACCGCCCTGCATAAAGCTAGGTCATGCGCGTCTACTATTGACCACAGGACCAACATCAATGCAATCTCCAGAACAGTCGCTGATGCAAGTGGGTCACTGTAGAGTGACTGGCCTGAGATCTAAATCATTCTAAATCTATTGGTGTGTTCTGGTTGCGTCCGCAAAGGGACCCCACTAAACACATTTAGACATGAAAAACAGCTCATTCGCTATGAATATGAGTCTCCACTTCGAGAGTTTAAAGCACGTTCATATTTATTTGGTCTGATCACCAGGCATGTGTATGTCTGCAAAATCGCTACCCCTCTATGCGCGGTGTCTTTCATCCACAACGGAGAGTGAACTTGAAACAGAACATGTCTCCCATGCTGGTAAGTCCAAAACCCATCATGAAACTGTGCGTACGATGCATCATCTATAGTGGATTGAGAGTAGATGGCAAAATCCCCGCAAAGGTGGTTCACATGCAACACCATCTCGCAGGGAGAGGGTGTCCATTACTAGCCCGCATTTTCGAGGTGATTCGGGGTGTCCATCAACCAACTGGGGGTCCAGGTTGTGGATTGTGCCATCTACCCTAGGGTTCCGAGTGCCTCCTCAGGTGTTTGGACCCTCTATACCCACCCCAGTCCCACCTTCGAAACGAAGGTACGACTGGAGCCCTAGGGGCTACTGTCTACTCCGAAACCACTGTCCAAGGATACTTAAAGTCACTGGGGCGGCATGGATCGTGACGGACCTGCCGCTCTGCGAGGCGTCGATCGGGACGGGAGAACGTGAGCCAACACAGAAAGGACACCTGCAGGTCACAAGCGAAACCTGCTCTCCTCTTGTTGAAAAGATCAGATCTGAAAGGAACTATGCTCATCTAAGCCGACTCTCCTCAGCTCATAGTGCCGAAACACAGTGCCTCCTAAGCCTTTTGTGGCCCCAGGCCGCCCAATACGAAAGACAGGTTGCCGCAATGCTCACCACCACCAAGGATCCATATGTATACACCTCAGCACAAACAATCGTTGACCGCAAAGTCAGGCAAGTGGCGGAAGCAAAACCGCTGAGATGCTTCGCTTGCCCACCCACACGAACGCTGGATGCAACACCAACGCTGTGGTCCTTCCATTAAGGTGATCGCTGGTGGCAGAAACGGTCGTCTTCTGCAAAAGCTTTAGATAATTCCTCTCTCTCTCTAGGAGTCCAGAACCTAGTGCTCAGGACTAGAGTGCTGCCCTGCCAACTCAGAACTTGCCTTCAGAATCTGATTGAGTGTACAAGTCGTAAAAAAATCACTGTTGCAACATGCTCTGCAAACTATTTCAGGTCCTTGCCTACCCTGGCCTTTGCCAAGTCTTCCACACAAAGCAAACGACAGCAGGGACTGTCAATATCCCCGCAACATGCTGTTGCATCCCAGAAAACGAATAATTTCAAACCAACACCCATCCAGACTCTGGGCACCCAGAACAGCCTGACTAGGGCGACCCCCCAAAATACCAAGCTGGCTACCTGGTTGGTGGTTTCAGCTCACCTCAAAAAAAAAGTATGAGTCAAAGGGTTCGCACAACATCGCACAACCATCCCAAGAAGCAGGTTGAAAATGGAAGTCTCTCAAGCCACCACCCAAACCAAGGCATCACCAAGGCATTGCTTAGAGGGGCCGTGTAGACCTCCGCATCTCGCTGATACTTGGTCAAGTGCTTCACATCCTGGACAGGCGAAAAGACTCAACCAGGTTCCTGTATAACACCAAATAGATAAGTAGATCACCCACACAACATGTATTGGACACCGTTTCTATCTATTTGAGGACCACTATACCCTCCATCAGAAAACAGAAGACGAGTAACACACTGTGGTTACCTCTGGGAGTTACCAGGCCTTTGGGTCTGGAAAGCACCGAGCAGCTCAGCAGCCCACCGTTTGCTCTCCGTTTCTGTTGACCCAGCAAACTCCACTGGAAGGGGGGTCCCTGAACCGCAGAAGGGTGCTGAGGTAAGTCCACAAGCAAGCAAAACAGAGGGGCCCCTCATATTATACACATGGCAAAAAACACACACACACACAAAAAAAAAACAAAAACGTTTTAACAAGCGCTCTTCATGAAAAATAGCCGAGCTCATTCGACACATGAGACATGGCTCGTGCCTTCAAGTAGGCCGAGAGGTGGGGTTCTGAAGGCTTGAAGCTCCAAAGGAAGATCAAAGCGACACCTGCGGCGCTTTCTCCAAACGACGCGGGTCCACGACGTGCGGAATCCGGACGACTTGACGGCGGACGACGAAGAGTTTTGTCCAGGATTTTCCAGGCAGACCTGCCCATCGGTGCCGTAAAGGATGTTTTGGAGGCACCACTCAAGTGGTGCAAATGTCCTAGTCAATTAGCAGGATCCCATTGAGGAACTGCTAGTGTGTGGACTAGACTCGACGGTATAGTAACAGGTCCAAAGAATCCGAGGAATGTTTGGAGCCATTTTCCAGGAATACACTGCATGATGCACATCAATGTCAATGTCATAGAGATCATAAATCCTACCATGGAATTATATATAAATCAAAGGCTAGTTGGAATCCCAAAGAATCCGCCGACCCCACACCGTGGGGTGAGGCGTGACTGTCGCTGTTAGCCTTAGCCTTAAGCCTTAGCCTTAGCCTTAGCCTTAGACCTTAGACCTAGTCCTTAGCCTTAGACCTAGACCTAGACCTTACCTCCCCTACCCCTCCGGACCCTTGTTGGAGTGACGAAATCCTGCCGGGAAAGCGACCTGGATTGTCCAAGAATCTGCCATCCCAATTGATTTACATCTTGGGGCACCCTCTCGACCCGCGCGGGAAAATAAGCACGGTCCAAAATGGTCCTGGGCTCGAATCCCGGGCTGGTCGCAGCATGGTCCCGGCCAATGCCCTTGCTTTTTCGTAGATTTTGTCACGTTTTCTGTTGGCTTATGAGATTTTCAAAGGCTTTTCTGGCATTTTCCTAGGAATGCTCTAGGCTTTGTCTTTTTGGGTACCTGCTTTGGTGGTGCTGGGTTGGGTCTAAATTGGTAAACCTGGGAGGTACCCAAAAAGTCGACTTTTTGGGTACCTGCTTTGGTGGTGAAGGGTTGGGTCTAAGTTCTTGGGCAATGATCGGGGTTCATGCAAGAGCTGACGTCCGATGGTAAATCTGGGAGGTACCCAAAAAGTCGACTTTTTGGGTACCTGCTTTGGTGGTGCTGGGTTGGGTCTGCACTCTTAAGGCTAAGGCTAAGGCTTAAGGCTAAGGCTAACATAGAGCAAGGCTAGCGCTAAGGTTCTATCCCTTGGGGGTCGGCGGCTGCAGGCGGTAGCCTGGTAAATACGATGCCGTAGGGTTGTGAAGAAAGCAATGGAGGTGGAGAGGGTGACAAGCTAGGCTGCTCCCCTAGCATGTCACTGCCAATGAGCACAGCATGGTTGACTCGGGTTCTGTAAAAACCTTGCCAACCAAATCAGCATGTTCAGCTGGCATGTAAACCCTCTCGTGCACGGGGTGAAATGGGCGAAACGGTCCCAAAGCCAAGACACACTGCACATACTGCATCGAGACGGAGGGTGGGGACATGGCTGACTCGTCGGACGAGGACATTGGCGGGATGGCAGTGATTGAACATGAATTGGGGGTCCATGATTCAATGACAAACCCCTTCGGTGGGGTTGGGTTCTTCAACTTGTCCGGGTTCAATCGGACAGTCTTCAAGAGCACATCCGTCATCATATGCCTGTCCCACCTGCTCATACAGCAACGCGCTCGCTCAAGATGAATGACTCATTACGGCTACCCCACCTGGCTACCTGGGTATCCTGTAACGATCATGTGGAAACTCTGCCGCAACCAATTCCCAACCTCCAATAGTACCAATGGCCGCTGGACAACCTACAGTACAATCCAACTTGCCAACTTGGATAGACTCAAGTAGAGTGAACTCTACTAAGTTCTCACTGATCGCAAGGCTCGATGCAGAAAACACAAACAGTTGGGGTGACTCTCCCATCACCCCCGGATCTGTTGAAAAAAACATGTCTTCTGCTGCTCTGTGGGCGGCCGAGGCGTTCAAGTCTTCCGAACGCCCACGAGTGACGGACGGCCGAGATTGGATGAAAGATGATGAAGGCCTTTTTTTTTGGTTTGAGCAGAGTATAGGTTCATAACGCTAACTGAAGTGAACGAAGCCAAAGGATTTCAACAGCTCAAAACATCAAAAAAAACAGGGCAAATTTAGCAGCATGTGGACAATGGGTGTCGGTTGGTGGCAGGGTCAAATCACTAGACGAGCACACGGGAAGACTTCTTGCTGATACCGCCGATAAGTACCTGTCTTCGGTAAAGATCCTATTGACCGTGATGGTGGGTGATGGTGGCTAAGCTAATGAGGACTCCTACAACTCTGATGGGCTGTTGCTGTGAATGGAATACACAGACATCGAAGGCATGCCATTTTGTTCGTTGGGCTCTTTTCCCCATCGAAGACATGTCCACCGGTCACTCTCTTGATAGACAGGAGTGAAGCACCAAACAGGAGTGAAGCACCAAACATATCGGTTTGGACTTCCACTGGCTCCATCTGGCTCCCCTGACTTGAAGCATGAAAAGACTGGCAAAGTCCAACATGGGAACCTATTTACAGTAGGTGAGTCAACAAATCACTGCATGACTAACATCAAGGCCCCCGCCTTGAATCCGCTTGAATGGCTTCGATCCTACACCACCCCAATTCGCCGACCAATATGCTCCAAAGATGGTCAAATCCCATGGGGCTGCCTATAAGAACAAAGACTCCATGTGCGGAATATATGTTACTATATACCATTAGGACCATTATATAAATATTACAATTGACCCATCAAACCACCCCTGATCAATAGAATTCGATGCATCATATATCAGTTTGATGGAGTGTCAGGGTAACTTTGAATTGCTTCAGGAACGGGAAATTTCATGTTTGACATCTTCCGCAGTTTCCAAGAGGCACTCAAAACCCAAGGTTTTTGAACAGTCTCAGAGAGCATAGGATCACATTGATGAGAGCGTAGCGTCTTTTTTACGCCCGGTGCCATGCTTTTCCCGAGTGGGCGGGCTGCTTAACAAAGGGTTTTTCCTCAAAACCTATTGGAGGTAAACATTACCGGCTGGTGGTTTCAAATCAACTTGAAGGACTCTGGTGGGATATGGTGGATCAATCTTGAACACTAAAGCATGTCTGAAATCGCATACCTGGTCCTTGAGTCATACTCTTTTGAGCCGAACGTCTTTCACGTCTGTTTGGCTGGGCTTTCGTGCCACGCGCTTGGCGGGGGGCTTGACCGTGTCGCTGTTCTGGGCGTGTCGCGTAGGCGTCCGGTTGCGACATCTCTGGGCTTGTGTCCGCATGTTTGTGAGCTTGGCCAAGTACAATCCAAATCATTTTCATAGGGAGGTCTCCTCTCAATGGGTTTCGGAGTATTGCCCTTCTTCCAGAAGGTCGTTGGGGAGGTCTCCCTCTTGAAATACACACTCGTCCTCCGCACACCAAAGAACTGAATACCGTCCTCGCGTCATGCTCCGTCTCTCTCTGGCGAGGCTCCAGGACCCGAACCCGTCTAGACGCTACTCTTCCAGGCTAGAGAAGCCCTCGGCTTGCCGCCCACATAGCAAAGCCGACGGAAGCCCGGAGGAATCGGAACACTAGGAAGCAACCCCCCAAAGAATCTGTCTATTGTATTTTAAAACTATTTTATAGTTACTCTCTGGGTGCACCCACCCCAAACACATCCAAACACCAAGCTGAGACACCAATTATAGCCATCCCCCTCAGGCAGCCGCGTTCCCGCCCGCGCGGTAAGCCCACCCACCCACGCGGAAAACCCGGCATCGGACCGTCCTCGGAGGGAGGCCCAAAGCCCACTGGAAGTCCTGAGGGTGGCGCTAGTACTGTGGTCGTGGGCCAAGTGCCACTTAGAATGAGCCCACGATACATCTCAAGACTTCAGTGTACGCAGTGTATTCTTAAGATATCTTCTTGCAGGTGCAGGGTTTTCTGAACAGGTGAACCAGTTCAGTTCTAGGCTCTCTGTGGAAGTGTGGAAGGATAGAGGACTTTATGGATCAACAACTTGGCGATGTCCCACAAAAGGTCACAGACTTTCGTCACCTGGTATGTTCTCTCGATCCTCTTTTCCCGACACCAATTCTCCCAAAAAAAACATTCCAATCCCATAGTACCTCCTGAACATGGTCTTCGAGGTGAGTTCGTACTTGCAGAGAATGACAGCAAGACATCCCAGCAACGGATGGTCCTGGACCCTTAGGGTCCCAAACCTCTCGGACCAGCATCGCCCCACCTGTCCCGGTCCACTCGCTAGGACTACCCATGGACCTCCAAAGCCAGGCCATCCAGGGAAGCCTCGTGAGCGCGCCGGTGGCGTCAAGAAGGCCGGCCATGGTTCCATTCATTGAGCGAAGTCCGTGGTGAAACCTCTGAGACGGTCCAGCTGTGTCTTTCAACAACGACATGAAGAAATTGCACTCATGAACAACTTGAAGTCCTGGAACAGCTTTTGGCTTCTTCATTGTTGAAGTCGAAAAAGCACTGGCATCCGACCTGTCATTCAAGATCAATTACGGTCACTTGTGCACAAGAGGAACCATGGTTCCTGCTTGTGAGGAAACAGTATAACCTTTGAATGATCCACACCCACACATCCTCGCGGTCGGACTGAGGCGTGCCTTGCATTGGCATTCCAGTGTTGGGGTCCTGGCAGTTCTGGAGGTGAGAGTAAGGATCAGTGAGAGCACTTTGACGGAAAACTCAAGCATCGTAAGATGGATCAGAAGCAACACCTGTGCCCATCTGTACCAGCAATATCTGCAATAAGGGCTAGCCTTGCTGTGGGGGGCTGGCAACAACCTCGGCTTCCCACAGGGGAATCGGCACTCATTAGCGGGCGCTGCTGTTGGAACCTCCTATGAAAAGAAGAAGCCTGGGTGGCACCCCTCCTCAAAACGCACGGTCCGGCTCCCAAGTACTAGTAGCAAAGATGGTCTTCTCAGTACTGAAAGAGTGATATAAATCACTTGAATTTTCTGATTCGGAACTGGGAAAACCAAATCTTCTCCAGTTTCGGGGATTCAACCCCACGGGAACAATCATGACTCTTTTGATCGTGCAACTGCTGAATCCATGCTCCGCGACGTTCGGCGTTCGCGATCGGCATGGAATAACCCATGCGTGGTCACCGGTGTTGAGGAAGAACGGCGTAATTAGCCAACCAAACATAAACCAAACCACTGAAACTGAGCACAATGATGGTGATATGGACTCGCATCAATGGGATAGTCGTCCAAGCTTCCATCATCTTCCATCAACAGCTGGTGCTGTACAGTGGTCCACCCTGCCACCTCATGCGAAGACGCACATGGAGGGCTGTATAGCGTGGCGGTTCAGGCAGCGAAAAAATTACATCCCTCCATCCAAACGAGCCCAAAGGTCTTCAGCCCGGGCGGTCTGATGAAAAGGGTGCGCTTTACAAGTGTTCTGCCTGGTGGCCTAAGGCAGGTGGACGGCATGCCACACGCATGTGCGATGGGAACCCCTGGGACAAACCAATAAACCACGCCTTAAGCCATACCAAGCCTATAGGGTTCCCATCAAAATGCGCGGCCACACTCAATGTCAGAGATGGTCATCCTCAGTGATGCGAGGGTTGGCAAGGATTGTCACTGCCCACGGCGTACCGTGTCTGACCAGCAGGCGGCAAAAAGCCCCGTGATCAAGTTGTTGAAGCGGCCCATTTTGAAAGGTCGTCTCCAATTCGATCATAAAACATCGTTCATCGATTCAATTTGTCCCATGAAGCCTCTCATCATACATCAAGTTTCTCAGTCGATCCTGTTGCTTCTGCCAACTCATGACCAATGGGTGGGATCCTGTGAAATATTCAAACAGCGAGCTTCAAAAACCAAACCTTCAGGTACCATAAAGGCCGCGAGTTCCTGTACACTGTGACTTTAATGATCCTCTCAGCCTCCCAAACGGTTAGAGACATCCTAGAGATCCAGCCAGCCTACGAACCATGTGCTTCTTTGCCTTGCTCGGAAGCATCTGGAGACATGCAAATCTCTGTGATGTGTATATTGTCATCGTGTTTGGAAATTTGGTTTCTGCATATCTTTCGCAGGATCTCCCATATCCTTCAATCATGAAGGCCTGGGCCGTGAAACAAAATTGATGCATGCAGAATGTCATGGTTGGACAAATGATGCTAAACATCCTTCATAAACCTAATTATATATAATTAAAGCCTAAGCGATAATGCAGAGTTGATCTGTGTCAAACGCCTGGAAATTCGTGCTTGGTTTAAGGATGCAACATGGACAATGGAGAAAGAAAAACAACACACATCCATGTCCGACTTGGCCCAGGCTCGGCCCAGCTGATCGGCATCGTTTCATCTCCACGCTGGCCGCGTCTGACACGGCGACACGGTGAAGCCCGTTGGTTCGAGCAAGTCCGGTTCGGTCCAGCCATAGAAGTCTGGTGCGTCCTTGTATTTTTACGTTCATGACTGGACAGCAATTCAGTTGACCGGAACTGTAGTGCCCAAGCCAAGCTGGTGACCTTCTACAAGGGCCATAGCCCCCATGGGCTATGGATGCAAGAGCTGTAACTATATCCCTACGAACCTAAGCAGTTCCCCTCAATGCACAACGAGAAAAGCAACACAGTTCCCCGAACCCACCTTGACACAGAATCTAACACGGTATCACTCCAGGCAATTCTGTAGGCATGGATGATAGGCATATACTGTAATTAGATGTAATTAGATCGTTGTCAGTATATATGACAACATGATTCATATTTAGATTTGGATGGCTTTGTGGGCGACCTCGGGTCGTCTATACTCTAAGAGTCCTATAGAACACGCTAAGCCATGGAGAGCCCTTCGGTGCTCGCTCCGAACCTCGCGTCGCTCCGACCAGGTCCGGTGGCCTTCGTCCAGCTCCCAAAAGGTGTTGCGCACCACCCACTTCGGCACACACACGGAGGTGGCAACACCTGGAGCCCAACGCGTGGCAGACCAACGTCAGACGTGGCTGGGTTGACCATCGTTCGATGGCTGGCGCGAAAAACCAACAGCTTCAAACGTCAGCTTCAAGTGGGAGACCTTGTGGATGCTAGTGGACGATGGTTCAAAGTTCAGCCTAGTCCCAACAACTGATACAGCTGCATCATGGATCCTCAAGAGGCCCCTTAGCTATCCATCATAAAAAATGGACATCTCAGTGGGCCAGGGATCGGGGTCTTTGACGAGTGTTGTCTGCAAAACGGTCGTGTCAAAGTCGATCAGACGCGCAACAGATCTCATGGACTTGGACCGGACTATGACTGGAACCTCTCCAACTTGGCGGATGTACCGGGACCTTACTACAGTGACCCTCCTTGAGATGGAATGAGGTCACTTAGTCCCTCAAGAGTATATCCCATTACCAGTAATAATGGATGATAATGGTTCAGTTGTAGGCCTTTCTCTAGCTTAGTGATCATATGCGATCATTGTCGACTGACTGTTACTGGGACAAACATGGACAAACCCTATAGCTATGTCTTATACTGTCTTATTATATCATATTATACCTGGTGTCCAATGCAGCTCTTTCTTCCAGGCCACGGTCCGCTGGATCCATCGCAAGGGTCCGCACTTTGGCATGCTCCACCAACGCAGGTGCTGTGGAGCCACCATGGAGACGTCGATAGGCAGTCCTGTTGAAGTGGGGAGTGGTTGGCATGGATGGGGTGGGGTGGAAATCATGAAAACATGGATCGTCACTCATTCGGGGATGAGTACGGAAAGAGATGGAAAAAGGAAGCGTTCAAACACACCATATCAAATGACTGGCACCCAATAAGGATTCTTCACTGGGTCCTTTGATTCCAAGCAACTCCTTTGGGAAACGCCTCAACCTTTTCGTCTGAAAGACTGTGAGGAACAACCCGCAGTCGAACTCATGGAATTTCTTTCAGGAACACCAGGCGCAAGGCACGACTCATTTGGGGCTGAAACCACCCCCCAAATTGGCCGGGACTGACTCTGTGCAAAATTGCGAAAGACTCAGAAGCCCCAGTGTTAAAGCTGGGGGCACAGTCCAAGTGCCATGGGAAGAAGGCCACATGGATCCCCAATCTCATGACATGACTTGTTTGGTAAACCTGGAGTTGGTACGGGATAAAACACAGCACTCACACCCTATGGATCCAAAATGATCCAAATACCGACCCTGAGGTTACGGTGATTGGAGACTCTTGATGTAGGCGCCATTGTCGGGTCCAATTACCTGCTGAGGTACGGTGGCAGTGGATCCATACCCAAACACTCCATGGGCTCCATACCCAGTTGACCCCCAAAACCACCCCTGGCCTGATCGGCATCTATGGCAGTCCCACAGGTCGTGTCTGGGATAATTAGGGGCACACAATCTCAGAACTCGGTCTTTCATCTCAGCCAGCATTGATCCTCCGTTCTCCCTCACTGTCGTCGGGAATTGGTGACGAACCGTCTCGAGTCGCTTGCTGCTTGGTGAGGCGTTGCATTCTGCTTGGCCAAAGGTAGGATGGGACGCCTGCTGTTGATGGAACACACTGCAGACTCTGGAACCCAACCACAATAGAATATTCCCAACAAAGTCTTCCCATAGTGTTCCCTGCTCTCGCTGGTGCAAAATTTGTCCACCTCATGGCATCATCCCTCAGCTGCTGTCCTCTGCAGAGCGAGCGCTTCCAACAGCAGCTTCCGAATTCCTGCCGGTGGTGGATAACCATTCAAGCGGGCCCTCAAGGCGTCTTTTGTTCTTGCAAAAACTAGTACTCTTTCGCCAATTGAGCTCTCGAGTTTCATTCTGGACCTCCAAAACGACAAACGTCGGAATTGAATACAGGATACTGAGCCACTTCCCAAACAGTGCGTGTTAAATTTTAGCTGATATGTTCAAAAATGTTCAATTTGACATCCCCGCTCCAGTCACTCTGTCATGACCACTCTCCATCCCTCCCAACCCATCGATCCTTGCCATTGCTGCGTTTGCACGACACACTGGTAGGGCACCAATGCTCGTCCCTCATAAGTCTGATAGATCCTTGGGATTGCTTAGGGAACTGGAGGGGCAAAAAGCACAGTGCTGGATTCCCCCATCATGAAACGAACAATCACCCCCTATAGGTCCCATGTGGCCCCCTATAGGTTCCATGAAACCATGTCCAAAACCTGTTGCATCGAAAGGGTCTAAAGTCTGCCAAACCAAGGATCTGAATCTGCATACCCAGCCGCCGTAGAAGGCATCGCAAATATGCAGCAAGACGAAACCTGCTCAGCGGCTGAGAAATTAGCCGAGCGAAAAATCAATGTCTTGGAACACTCCCCTAGGGGGCCCCCGAATCAGCGCCCACCCACATAAATATACATATATATATATTATATCCTTAAGGATGATGTTCCTTAGGGTTTCTGGCCCACCTCCTGAGATGGTTCGGGGGGGTGCCAGGGCCAGGGGGGTCTAACCACCTGAGGAGATGGGCCAGGAGCCCTAGGTCGTATGATACCTTAAGGATCCACACCCTCTGAGAAGGTGATTGGACTCTCCAAGCCACGCAAAAGAGTGTCCAATCACCTTCTGAAAGGGTACGTGGATCCCTATGGGATGTTTATTTAAGGTTACAGTAAACCGTTAAACCATTCCCACCTCAAACCATTAACTGAGCGCGATACTCTTTTTCGGAGACTCGGGGCGCTTGGGCTTGGGGGGAGGCTCGGTGGTGCGCTTGCACGGTGCCGAATCAATCTCCTTTTGATGAGGTCGAGTGCAAATGGTGGTGTGGAAAAGGTTTGGCGACCCAACGGACGGTGATCAGCAGGAGAGGGAGAGCGACCAAAAACAGTATAGCGCCACTTCGTAAAGGAGAGGAAGCACCACAAGAACTTCAGGAACGTTCAGGAAGATTGCTGCTGCCTGCTGCCAAACTTGATTGGTTGAACCGCGCACATGCCCCATGTCATCCCAACACTTGCCTTGGCTTAGAGGAATTTTGTAATCTTTTTTAAGAGTGTGAATTGAACACTTTTGGTATTGGCTCACACACGATTGTTTTTCAACACACTTAGATATTTTTCTCCATCGTTTTGCTTTGTGTCTTGAATGATTTCGGCTCAATGGCAGAGTTCTCACTTGCTCCCGAGGCTGTTTCGGCTTCCGCCCCAAGACGAGGCTGTTTCGGCAATGGTTCGAGGACTTGTGCAAAAAAATTAACGACGCCCCGCTGGACCATGACTTGACAGTGGGTGCCTGGGAACTTTATACCAAAGGCTGCTTCGGCCTCGCCACTGGCTGCTTCGGCCAGGGCCCATGGGACGCAACATGACGCGAATTGGAAAAAGTTGCATAGTCCGTTGCCGGACTTACGGGAATTTTTCCTCTGGGCTTACGGGGTCGTCCCCGAACTGTGTAAGGAGAGGACGCGGAGAGGACGAAACAAAAATTCCGCTAAGCTGTCTGACTTTTCGAGGGGTTGTCCTCTCTGTGTCCTCTCCTTAGGTGACTCTGGGTCGTCCCCGGACTGTGTAAGGAGAGGGCGGATTGTCCTCTCCTTACACAATCCGACTGGTCGTCCCCGGACTGTGTAAGAAGAGGACGACGACTCTCCCGACTCCGGTCAACGTACACCTCCACAGCCAGGTTTTTCCGTCGTTGTCGTCGTCGTCGTGTCAATGCGTCTGCAGCCGTTTCCACTCAAACCTTGTAGCTTCGGTAGCTTCGACCTGTCTTTATGGCTGCTTCGGCCAAGTTTTGCTGAGGGATGGAAGCTTTTGACTGTGGCGCATACTAGAAAAAAGTGCGGTGCGATTTGCTTGCAGTTTGATTTAGCTCAATGCTGTGTCTTGGTGGTAGAATTTTAAGGGTCATTGGGGGGAACAGCTTAAATAGGCTTCATAATGAAGATATTTTATTTGATCGTTTTTCCTGCTATTGAGATATTTTTTCAGCCTTTGGCTGGACTATGCATTGGTGCTCTAAAAAAAAATCCAAAATTCCTCTAAGCCAGGCTAAGAACATGATAATCAACCACTCTAACCAGCGTGAAATCAAGAGTTCCTTTCTGTTCCAAACCTGTGTGAAATCACACTTCCAGCCACGCCGCTTGCCATCTGCGTCCTCCACTTGAAATGGCTTCCAAACAAGTGGATGCTGCATCAAGCCGGACACTGCCCCGGGCGTATCGGAGACTCTCCTTGCACCGGAGACTAGCCGCGTTCTCTTATGACAATACGAGGTTCAAATCAGGAGAACCGAGTGTTTTTTATTGGTCCATTACGAAAAGTAATCCTTCGTAAACAGTATAATTGTAGAAACACAAGGTTTCTGAGTGACATGAGGGCGTATAACAAAAGGCGGGCTTTAGATTGGCGAAATCACCAAGACGAAGGCAAAGCCCGGGGTCAACTCAACATGTTGCACTTGACTCTCAGTCAGGGTGAAGCGAGAACATATTATTTATCATATTATACAAACAAAATAAACACACTTAAAAAGGTGTTTTGTCTGGTGACAACAGGTGCCCAGAAAGCACCTGTTAAGAGCCCCAGACAGGCCGATATGAAATAGATTCCTTTGCCAAGCGCCTTCAGCGCTCTGAAAGGTTCCTTTGAGCACCGCGTATCACCAGGGATGCAGCGCTGATGGATAGAGAGGGATCACTCACTGGATGAAACTCTAAGTCGCGGCACGGGAACATCAATGGGTCACCATGGTCAACAAGAACATATCAATGCATCTTGAGGGACATCAGGTGTGGATGGCGAACGAACCAGGGATTCCACCCTCCATCCAACAATCATAGATTGGTGGAAGAGCTCCCCTTGACAGGCGGCGAGCGCAATTTAACAAAAACAACAAACTTGAACCAACTGGTGCAAGTGACTCTGGCAACAAGGGCAGTCCACGATTGAAGCAGCGAAGCCCAAGAACGGTGTAGAACTGGGCGTCGATGGACCGCATCAAAGAAACACCGGGCCGATTCCTGGTGAATCGCCACGAGGGCTATGACACAAGAGCAGCTCAAATTCGGATAATTCGGTTCCCTCGGAAGGAACCACCGGAGGGCCTGAACAATTTGGAGTGGATGCACCTACATGCACGTTACTGAACCAAGGAAATACTAGTGAGTGAACCATTCAGGGTGGCGTGCTGATAATCTACAAAGCTACGAAAGGGTGCGTAGACTGTGTAGACTTTGAAACCATGCTTGTATAGGAAATATGAATGCCCTTGTCAACGAACAAACGTTGTCTGATAGCAGTGGGGAAATAAACATGCAAGCAAGTGCAATGAGTTGAATACATAACTACTTTGAGGCACATGTTGTCCAGAAAATGTAGCTCAGCCGGGAAGAAACGTATGGCAGCTATGCTAGCCGTAAACGAATAACACATGTGGCTTCACCTTCACTGTGAAGCTAGTGAAAAAGAAGGGTGGGAAAACATGTTGTCTGACAGTCTAGCTGCGTCAAAACTTGTTTGTTTTGGGTTGCAAACAGCACGCTTTGCGCTTATTAAACTGAATGTCTTACTGTGCATTCGGATGAATCAGGAGCCCTTGATGCCGAGCCCCTCAAAACATCTCCTTTCCACCCATCATCTTCAGCCAAATGTTGGGCAATTGGGAGGATAAGGGGCGGCCAGCGTCTCCAAAATGCAAGAAAAGGTTATGTGTCACCCACCATGGTCTCAAAGAAAAGAAATAAATTACCAAAATAAACCTATCCAACAAGGTTGGATTGCTCTCTGACACAACTTTTGATGGACATAGCTGGGCGGCTTGCTGGTTGTATTGTCTGTCTTCCAGGTCCCAAAAGCATAGTCTGTCAATGCTCCTGTCAACTCCCAATAAGAAGATTTGATCCATCAGTTGCAGTCTTTGCCGAGCTTCAAGCAGCTCACCAAAGCGGCATATGCCTTCTCCAGTAGCAGGTTGTAGAAGGGGGAGAGCCATTCAGGGAACTTGTTTTCGGGGACGCTCAGGATTACGACCTGTCGCCGGTTGTGTAATCTGTTGTCTCAAAACTGGCATCATGGTGGATGGTGACGGTGGATGATGATGCTGACTGTTAGCAAGGGCCTAGTTCCTTCGTTTAGTGACAAACCTTTACCCCAGGTACGTGAGCGTGTTTTTTCTTGCTTCCATCTGCATCCAAAACCCCAGAAAGTCTGGCAGAGTGCTAGTCTCCAGGAACAACTGAATGCCAGCGAGTCTCCAGGAAGGCCAGCGATGCGGCGGTGGCGCTGTTCATGTATCAAATATAGTGGATTGAGAGTAGATGGCACAGACCCCAAAAGGTAGTTTATACAGACCCCCATCTAAAGGACATCATGGTGTCTGTGCCATCTACTCTGAAACCACTGTATATATCCCCCTGTAGCCCAAGTATACAAGAAAACAAACACCTCCTCACATAGGCCAGATGTGCTAACTCATCCGCATGTTGAGAAGAACATATGGCATGCGAGATCCTCCGTGCGAACATTGCATTGAAAAGACTTACCCTGCCCACACTTGCCCACACAAGCGCCCGCAATGTGCAAAATCTTGACCCTTGGAGCCCTGTAGAATTGAAACCAGCTATGCAACTTTACAAAAGCCAAATGAGATTCTCAAACCAGCAAGTTATAATCTTTCAGAATATTTGGAGAGAACACCCCTTCAAGTCTGCAAAGACAAAAATGATCTATGTATATGAACGCATGGCCAAGCTACCACACGCTTCAGCCCTGGCTTCTCTTCATCCTCACGAGCTATCAGGAGATATTCCTTGGCAGCAAGCAGTTGTCGCATCATGTCGAAGTCGCCACAACGCACGGCCAAAACAATTTACCTGGAGCACAGGCACTCCTGTTTTGATCTGAAATGACCATATTTGGGGTGCATTGTGGTCCGAATAGGTCACTCAGGTTCTATATGTTGAATCTATGCAATTGTGTATCCTAGGGCTCCAAGTACCTCCTCAGAAGGTATTTGGACCATCTAAACCCACCCCAAACACCTTCTTAGAAGGTACTTGGAGCCCTAGGGTATATAACCATGCCATGCAATTGTGCTACCCACAATTTCTCACATAATCTGTGCTACCTACGAGTGCCTGGTACAGTGGAACATTCCTGCAGTAGGGATGAGGCATTTCAACACTTGCAGGTAGCTCGGACATGCTCCGGCCGAGGCTGATCTCTGCCGAGATTGGCAGCCCCGACTGGCTGGATTGGAGCTTGTTGGGAAGAAACGGCTATGCATAGCTCGGGCTACCAGGGAACATGGCACAAACTGAACTTGAAACGCGGAGCATGCCGCATGCCCAAAGAAAACATCGTGCAGTTCGGCAGTCTCTACCGATGCCACCCAGGCCCAGGGGACTTGGGACACGATGGACACCAAGCAAAACACCACCCCTTATGAAATCTTTTGAAGGGATATTAAAAACCTTTGCCGGTAAGGGACAAGTTGCCTTGTCCAACCCCTGGTTTGCGCTCATGTCTAGGCAACTGCTAAGTACAGCATGCCACACCCTCAGCCACATGTCCGCCGTGACTCAAGACATGCACAAGGTCCATATATATATATACTATATATATAATTATATATATATACACTCCTGAAAACTAACATAGACCCTGACAATGGCACCCCCGGAATCGTGTTTTCCTCTACCAACGAGTGGTTTTCAGGGTCCATGGGATCGTCTTCCAGGGTGTATGTAGAATCTAGAACTTGTTTCAAGACCATGTCCGCACCGTGCAGGTGCCAGCTACTCTCAATGGAACCAAGTAGAAGAGACACAAATCAGTCATGATGACACAAACCAGAACATCCACATCTTCACCACGTGAAACAACAAGTGCCAATGTCCGTTGAGAGCTGGTGTCTTGCGAGCTCAGACCGCTGGTGTCTATGAAGAGGCCATAGCTACTGTCACCCATGCTGGGCCAATCTCGCCGTCGCAAGTGACGACCAAGGACCGGTGTCCTGGTGACGAACACGACGGGTGAAACGCCGTGGGCACCACGTGCGTTTCACGCATCGACCGAAGGTGGAGTGTAAGAAAAAGCTGACGAAGGTGATGGTCGGCTGACCCCAACAGTGTTCCATGGCCCCTTTGGCCATCCTTTCAACTGGGAAAACTCGGTCGTGGCACGTTCCCGGAAAAAAAAACAACAATGTTCACATATGTTCACATCACACCGACTCTACCGACTCCAGGCGAAGGGGTGAAGCCCAAACCATGATCAACCAAAATACCATCCGAGAGTGAGGATCTATGGGGGCTGAGATGAAGATACGGAGATTCTGATGAAGTCATGGTGGTCCAAAAACATCACTAACTCAATGCAACCGAAGCTGGATACAACTCAGCTAGAGTCATGGAGCGATCACCTGAGGAAACGTGCTTTGGCTTTGAGGCCACCCTACCTACACTGGATGATTTCATGCAACTTACAGGGCTGAAATCTCAAGTAGTGGCTTCAAAAGGTGGTTTGCCCAAAATAGTTTCATGGTTGTTTGGATGCTTCTAAGGACAGGGAAGAAGTCGATGGCGGGAAGAAAGCATTTGAACGAGTTAGATTAGATGGAAGCACCACCAACAACTACAACCGGAAGTAGTAGCATTTTATATGTTTGGGCTTAATAACTTGTCAAGAACATGCAGCATGCTGCTCCTAGAATGGGCGTGTGCCGTGTAGAAAATCACAGCAGGATTGTCCACATGAATCAGAATTGAAGGCAGCTTGGCCACGCTAAGACGAAAAAGTGAGTGAATGATAGGCAACACGCACAGGAAAAGAGTCTGTGCTCAATTTATCTATAGAGGTCCACATGCAGTGATTTCAGGCTATATAATATGATGGCACAATGATCCCACCTTTCAGATGGGGATCTCTGTAAACTATCTCGTATTGGCTTTGCGCAATCTACGGTATACTTGTTCACTCTGAATCCAAACTCTATCATATTGGCAATGACGACGTGAAAATGACTTGAAAACCTGGTCTTGCAAGGCGCCAGCCAACAGCCCCTTTTGGACATGGCTGGTCTGAACACAATAGCAAGCTCTTGAGGAGCCCAAACTGTCAAAAACTTACGCCCCCTTTGAAGCACAATGGGAACACTGAGGTTTGGGGCTACTCCAACCCGCATCTGAAGCCAGGCAGGATGCATTCACGACCTGCCACTAAGCGACCACTCCACTCCAGCCTGTTGCTACTCCCATCCAGGGCCGGGTCCAGGTCCACGTCACCTACCGTCCAGTCCAACATGTCGGCAAGCTTCTGTGAGTACAAACAAGTGTTGGCCACCTCAAAGTTCCCAAAGAGCTGCGCCAGCAGCAAGTGCACCTTTGAGTTGCGTCAAGAAAATGCACAAAGTAGCAACCAAGAAGTCTTCACCAGTTGGTTCACAGAAGACACAGAAAATGGCGAGAGTGATGCAATATGATGCATACCAATTCAAAACAGGTAGCAATCTTAGTGGAATTTCCTTGCTAGGGTGTAAGATTTCCTTGCTAGGGTGTAAGTTGCACAAAAAAAATACACATACTGTAACATACTGTAATGCGCATGGTTCAAACAGATCGTTGAAAGTTCAAGAAACCATAGCCGAGGGTTGCATGGGCCACCTCTTCAACTTGGATGATTCTCTTTAACAATGCCTAACAATATCCGGGGCCATGTGAACAGTATGGCTTCTGAGCTTGGAATGACAATTGCCATAAAACTGTTCCCCCAGCTAGACCTCTCCTGCCATAAGTAGGCCAGGAGGCTCAATGCACTCAGACTTGCTGCACTGTACATGGAAGTGCCTCTTCCCTCTTTGCAAAGTAATACAGGTCACTTTTCTGACCAAGTAGGCAATTCTCCACGACCTCATGCGTTTGTCCCGTTGGTGCGCTCACCCGTCCCATCAGCCGTAACAAGCTAAATTGGTGCGCTGGCAGCGTCACAGCTTGCTCCAACCACACGTCCCCGGGACCATTGATCCTCCTGGAGCATGCGAACCGGGCAAATGTGTTGCCCCTTCCTGGGCATTGCCAACATCCCATGGACTCCAATGGCCCTTTATGAGATATCCCGGATTGCACTGTCTAGTCTAGACTGGGTTGACCATCATGAGGTGTTTTGGCAACTAGGATTGTCAAGGGGGATTTCCAGCTAACCCCAAACAAAAAGCACATTGCCAGCTATTTTTGGACTAATTGTCATCCAAAACATGTGGCTTTGTACACTGTTTGCTTAGTACATAGTTGCAATAGCAGGTTTGAGGTCACCCTGGTTTCTGCAACAAATGCTTGTGGATGCAAACAGGTTTGCTCTGATCAAGCAAATTCTTAATCCAGAAAATCCTGCAACACCCAGCGCCCTTGAGTAATACCTGGTAGTACTCTATTTGGTTCCTTCACATCAACGAAAGCTTCAAGTGTTGGAAACGAGATGGGTTTGCACTGCACGCGCCTTGTGTTGGAAAGGTCTTAATTCGTGACCGCCACTGACTCGCTGCTCCCTTGAGTTTCCGTAGCAACATCATGCAACATCCTGCAGAAGCAAACATGCCATCAAATCTGACCAATGGTGCCCATTCAATCCCATTCCAGCAAGCTTTCCAGCAATCCACTATAAACCACTTCCCGAGCTTCCGCCTTCACACCATCACGGTCTTCCGGAGACAAACACGAGACTCTCTTCACTCGGACCCGTCAAAACCTGGCCTGCCCTGGACACCGGTGGCTGTCCTCAATTCTCCTGGAAGCAAAAGCCTGGGTGACATGCTCAAATGAGCAAAGTGAAGGCTCGACGCCGAAGAGCGGGGAGAACCTCACTTCAAACCTCACTAAAGGGCTATTAGGTTGGAGGCCATCGCATCGCTATTAAGCTTGGTCAGCTGTGGACCTGAACAACCGAGCAATAGCGAGAACGCTTGAAGAAGAGATACAGTGAGTATGATTTTGCAATTGATGACTGCAAAGGTAGTGCCGCACAACCACAGCAACAATCTCCCACTTCGACTGCCGCTGATGCTGCTCCTCCTGCTGTTGAAAGCCTTCCATTCAAACATATTCAAACGTATTCATGAATATCCAACCAAGCTTATGCGCTTCAAATTTCAAACGTTTTATATAACACTCATGAAATAACTCATTTCTCCTTCAGCAACACCCATGGAGTGCGGCCCCAAGATTCACTCGTTCGGCCCCTCCCCCCTGCTTGCTGAGTGGCTTGTAGAAGGCGTCGTGCTTGGGGCCAAGCTCTGAACGTACTTCGGGGCGAATGAAGAGCTGCGAGATCTGGCCAGCGTCTGTCGTGACTCCAGTGCAGGTTCTTGATTCGAATGATTGATGTCTTATGTGCCTGAAAATCCAACGAAATACCTTCTCCAGTGTCAAATGATCTTCGACCACTTGGTGACTTGGTGCATCTTGATCTCTCTCCACCCGAACCCCCGGTCGCCGGGGGGTTCTGGAGCGCATCGACGGTACAAACCGTGTCTCGAACCAACTGCACCGTCCCCCAAACTGCAAGGTCCGAACCAATCCGCGGGATCAATAGTGATACAACATGTGGAACATGGTGGATATGAATAATCGTATATTTTAAAAAATCATGTAAAACAACGTATATAAACATAAACAAAGGCAACAAATCAAAGAACGAGTCTGCAAACCCGTTGAAGAAGATCCACCCGTTGAAGATCCGTTTGCGCCACCAGGGCCCTGCCAAGGGCAGGGCCCTGCTTCAGTGCCACGGACGGTCCGGGCACGTCATGGCATTCAGTGACGTCATGTCATTCTGCCAGCAGCAAATACAGAACAAAAAGAGTTTGCGGAGATTGATCAAAGTAATTAAGAACAAGCCAAAATTTGGAGTTTCACTCACTTCAAGGCATTCGATTGCATCTTCTGTGTGATGAAGGATCACCCCAACAAAAATATCACCAAAATGCGTTCTGATTAAATCTCGACCATCCCCTTAGGCCCGTTTTCATCCCCATGAACCCACGTTCTTTGGGCCTCAAGATTGGGATCGTGAATGGGCACGCACGGGCAATCCGTTTTGATCAAGTGGCCACCTCACGCATCGCGTCGGAGCGACGAAAAGATCTCACAACTGGAGCTCTTCAAACCAACCAGGACTCATAGGATAGACCTAAGATATTCCATACATGGCTGGACCTCTGGAGCTGTCGCCTGACTCCCAACCAGGCCTGGCCTGACTCCCAACCGTGACCCCAAATCCTGGGGATCTCAAGGACGGTCATGAACTGAAGCTCCTGGATGGTTTCTCTTGTTCCAAACTTCAAAAACTGTAAAGGAGTTTAAGTGCTCTGATGTGCTCTCATGTGCTCTTATCAAACTTCAACACTTCCACTCTTCAGTTTGGAATTTCCATGCTCTTATGTGCTCTTGATTTCGGGCACTGCCATGGGCATCTGAGATGCCCCAAAAACCACATGGAGCAAGCGACTTCCCGACATTCTTGGGCCTCAGGTCTCCCCCGGTACATTTGAACCTATGAAGATCCTCCGGTGCTGGAAGTCCCGCAGTGAGCGCAGTTGTTCAGGGAGTTCTTTAGTGATCTTTAGCCGAGCCCCTCCAGAACCAGGTATTCGGAAAAGCCAACGAAAACAAGTCCAAAATAGTCCAAACATCAAACCCAGTCGCCCCAAGGACAGCTGCGATGGGACAATGTTGCGAGGCCACCGTTCTTCCACATCGTTGCGGCCACCTCCGCGACCCGGGTAGAAGGAAGAGATGGTGAGAACGGTGGATGGGTGACGATCTGAGCTGGACGTGCTGTTTTTGTTAAAGAAGAACATCATGGCTGAAGGTTCCTCTCACCTCTCACTTAGAAGAGCATCCAAGAATCTAGGAGCATCGAAAGGCCTGTTCGATGGTTTTTAGTGTTAGAATGTGGGTGCTGGGAGCATGCCTTTGTCCCGGCGACCTCCAAGATCCACTCCGTGGCTTCGACCAAGATCTCGTCGAAGTCGGGACGCGTCGACGCGTCGTATCTCCTGCCTCCCAATCCGAGTCTGACATGATGGAACTTCTCAGGCCATAGGCATCGATGCCTCACACCAGCGGCCAAAAGAACACGGGCCTGGGATCGTCAAAACATCTCGAAGGTGGGTAGGTCACTGAACATCAGGGTAGGTGACTGAACGTCAGTCACCTACCCACCCTTGAAGATTGCATTGAGGGGGAGGAAGGAGATAGAAGATTTGAGAGCGAAACGTAGCCACCGATGGCTGACGGATGGTATAATAGCCGTGTAGTATAGTGTAAACTTCTTGGATCGTACGGGATCACTCTGGTTTCAGTGGTGCCCTGTCTAATTGACAGAAACCAGTAGCCATCTAATGTGGGTCTGGTGGTGTTACAATCCTACTCTACCACAATCACTAGCACCAAGAACAGGACGTTGCAAGAATCAGCTGCTGATGGATTGTTAACTGAAAAGGGGTCCCATGAGGGCAGCTGGTTGCTTGTGGTGACTGTTCAAATCAAGTCGAAGGCCGAGGAAGGCTCGAAGCATGGGCAGTGGTCTGAACGTTTCCAACAGCAAGGGGCAATATTGGTGGAGGGGCGAGGGGCACAAAAGGGATATCAAAAGTGGTTCACCTTTAAATGGCTTGGAATGTGTTGCCCAAGAATGTCCAGCTCAAAATAGTGCAGAACCTTAATCAATCAACGCCCCCATTTGGCTTGCAAACCCTCCTCTTCATATATTTTGTAATTTTACTGTTGGGGGTGACCGCTTCTGAGAGCACGGCACACGACAGCGGGCTGCGGACCAGTGGCGTTCTTGTGGTGCAACCATCGCGAGTTCGCTATACAATGGATCTCTGGATGGATTGCTGGGAGCCAAATGAGCCCATCAGGACACACGGGCCAAACCCCGAATCAAAGGTGGCGGAAATTGACGCAGCGACTGCGACCAAACTTCTAGATACTTCTATAGTATCTTCCGTCTGTTCGGAATCTCGGAACGCACCGAGTCCAGAGTCGATTCAAGGATCTGCAGTGTCTCCTTTCGCCCACTTCCCATCCCCCCGGTTCCACCCTGTTTCGCCCACGGCGTTTTCAGCTTCCACCTGTTTCGTTTCTGGGTAGACATGGGCCTCTGGATGGCGCACACCGTCGACCATCTCTTAGGGGGCACCGTCGACCATCTCATGTGCAGCTGCACCACGGCCAGGTATGAGTCGAACTGTCTGTATTTGGTGGAATTCAACCGTCGTCGCTCCATATTCTATGGATCCCAATGGAGTCACTTAGAAGCTGTGTGGACCACAAAGCCATGAAATTATCCGAACCTGGTAGAACATGGGAACATGTGACTTTGGAGTGGTGCAGAAGCAACAAAGGGAGGCAAATGCTGGGTCCCAGTCTTGGTTCCAAGCCTTTGGACGTCCGACAAGCCCGTGGATGCTAAGGTGTCAGAAACCCATCCTTGATGGGCAGTGTCATCTGCATGGGGGCCGCGCGCCGTTCAAGGACCTGAGTTCAAGGATGCTCAAGTACCAGCACCATGATCATTCATAGGCCCCAGCATCAAAGACCATCATTGAATCATAGTGGTCCCAAACAAGTAGAGCCACAATGTCCAACTGCTGGTTTTAAAATGGAATTGATTGACTTGTTTCTATAGTCCCCAAAGGGTTCCTGGCCCACATCCTCAGAAGGTAGGGCCCAGGAAGTCGGGGTTGTCCCCCCCTGGCACCCACTCCAACCACCTTCTAAAGACGTGGTTGGAGCCCTATAGGAAGTATAGTTAGTCGGATTTCCATCGGATGAAGTCTCATCCAACCGTCCAACACGCAGCCGAAATCCTTGCAAAACAGAGCAGTCTTCACCCTTCTGGTCAGAGGGCCCTTTCATTTCACCCAAACAAACAAGGAAAAAGCCATGGGCCATGTCTCTATTTGGGAGTGGCACTGCAAAAACACATGAGTTCGA